AGAGTGGGTGGAGCAACTGGACGAGAGCGCTGGTTTGCCTGAGGAGCAACTGGACGACGTACGAGGGGGTTGGGGAGCGTGGAAGGCCAAGCCGCGGATCAAGACGAAGACTGGTGAAGAGTTGGCTTCTTGTTCGGGAGCTGTTGATGCTGCATGAACCGACATGACAAAGAAAAAAACAATTTCTTGGTAGTGACCAAAATTTCAGCTTTTTTTCCATACAATTAAAATTCCCATTTTTCTTATTTATCAAAGTAAGGAATCTATGTTTTTTTATCCTTTTTTGGCATTCTCCTTCGTCTGTCCAGTCTTCTAAATCTTGTAAATCTGATGGGGATCATATCATTTGCTGTTGACGTCATGGTGACGCGGGTCGTAATGATAAATGAATGAATCGAACAAGATCTGGTTTGGATCACATCATCAAGTAATTTCATCATCATCATCATCATCATCGTTAAGAGTTAAAACCGGTCTGAATTAGAATAAGATGTGGTTTTGGATTACCAAGTTCAACCTGAACCTGATCGAACCGGACTAAAACCGGTCTTAAGTAGACCGAAGAGGAACAAATTCTCTCTGCACCGGTTTGAATTAGAATGAACCGGACCAAATTAGTGGAAACCGTTGCAAACCGAAATTCAAAATTTAAAATTTTTCTCTCTCCTTTTTTTCCTTTTCTCTCTTGTTTCCTTTTCTCCCTTATAAATAAGTAGGCAGATACTGAATGAAAGCTATTGATTTCCTCTCTGTTTTTTCCTCGGATAACAAATTCTCTCTGCGTCGAAAAAGGGCTTCTCTCTCCGGCACAAATTCTCTCTGCGTCGGAAAAGGGACATTTGTCGGAGGTTTCAGGTGGGACTTGTGGTGGGTTTTTGGAGTTGTGAGGTGTCCGGTTTTGGGTTTCGGTCGGTGTGAGGCTGTTTCTTGGGTCTAGGTTTGGTTTGGTTTTCCGGTTGTGTCTGGGATTTGGTGAGGGCTTGGTCTAGATGTAGGGATAGGATGGTTGTGTGGTGATCGTATCACAAAAAGGGACAGTTGTCGGCTGTGTCGGTGTCTAGGGTTGGTTTGGTTTTCCGGTTGTGTCGGTGTTTTCTTGTCCCGATGCTTTCTTGGTTTGCTTGGTTTCTGGGTTAGTTAGTTGTGCTTGTGGGTGAAGTGAAATCTTAACGGAATTACAATATTAATTATATTCGTGTTCATTTCGTTTGTGATTGATTCGATTCGGCATTTGCTTCGCAATTCTGCAGCGTTTTCGTGTTATTGTTGTGGTGGGTATCTGAATTCTTAAATTCCATATACATACAAAAGTTTATAACTTTGAGAAACTGAAGAAAGGGTATATATGGTGGTTGATGTTTCAGTTTAAGGTGCGAGATCTGTTGGTTCGGTATGGAAGTGGTTGGTGAAATCCAGGAAGCTGTCGTGGAGAAGCCTGTGATCGTTCGGGTTAAGCGGAAAGCTGATCGGTCGCCGCTTGATGCTTTCTGTAAGTTGCTATATATATATCCTCGTCCTCCCAAAACTCATTGGAAATTGCGGAATTCTGAAAGTTTGATGGAATTCAGGGCTGGAGATAAATGAAAGACCATTCAAGCGTCCTTTCTTGGACATGGCCAGATTATCCATTTCTGATTCGGCTGAAAAAGGTTTCCTTTTCCCTCCCTAGGCATCTCTATTTGGTTTATTGTCTGGCATTTGTGCTTCCAGTTCTTTGTATACTTCGTGTGATTGGTTTCGGAACTCTTCTGTTCTATACTCGGTAAAGCTCACATAGATACGTTCTTCGGTAACAGAAAAATTGAAATCGAAGAAGGTGCTTGTGCGCCATGTGGAGATTGTGACCGACTCCATTGGCACGTTTCAATCTTTATTTGTAAGTAGTGTTATCCGTGTCTTAGCTTTGTCTCTTTTCAGTTCTTTGTTTTCTGACTGCTTCTAATACATTACTCATGTTCTATAGGATTCTGTCTCCGGTGAACACAGTAACCGTAAAGAAAAGATCGAGGAGCGGAGAAATGCCTTCAAAAGAGACAATGTATGCAGTTAATGTATCTTTGTCTTCTGTTGGTTTCAATTTTGTCATGCTTCTCAAATGGTAATTCATGTTCCAATTTCTGTTTGCAGCGAAAAGGCCAGCTATTGACGAAAGCAGTGCGACAACAACAAGTAAGTAGCTTCCGGCCAAAAACTTTGTCACCGTATTCTTTCTCAACTTGGTCTATAACGAAAACCTTTATGCATGAGTAAACTCGAGAATCGTCTAAATTGTCTAATAAAATTCCTACAGGTTGATGCTAAAAATGCTCGTCTTGAGCAAATATGGCGGAGTAGGAAGGGAACCAAGGAGGAGGAACATGAACATGACAGATCCCTTCATGAAAGGTTCCATTTTTATGATGTTGTCCGCGTTGACATTAAAGAAGGGCCGAAAGCTGCCCCGATGGACGAGTGAGTTCTCTAGCACGAGCTCAGTGATTCTCCTCTTTCATATTTTAGAATCCGACTCTGTAAACAGTTGTTAAAGAACTCTGTGTCTTAATCCCAGGCTTCCATCCCTAGAGGAACAGAAGATGTTGGCCGGCTACTTGCCTCTCCTGAGGGAGTTAATGCCGGATGTAGCGAGGGAGATCGAATCCAATATCCAGACAGAGGAGTTTGTTTATGATTATTACACCGTCCACAAAGATGATATGGATGTCGACGTAGACGATCATGCCCACTCGTTCCCGTTGTAAGTATCTTTTCATGTGGCTCTCTCTATATATATGTATGCTCCCCTAGTTAGTTTCTGGTGTTATTAATGTGGTTGCCATTTTTGTTCAGCGTTCAAGTGGAGGACGAAGATTACTGTGATGGTGGACCAGAGGACTCAGAGTATGAGAGTGATGATTCAAACGGTATATATCTGTAAATATTCCAAACTCGCAAGCTCTGTATCAGTTTAATCCTTCAGTATTTGATTAACTCTCTTCTACAGCTGAGGATAATCCATGGAATGATTACCCCGAAGAAGAAGATGAAGAAGAAGATGAAGATGATGATGATGATGATGAGAGCTTGTATAGATACAACCATTACGGATAGACAGCACTGGAGTAAATGTTACAAATTCTCTTTCTTGTTAATAATCCCTTTTGCTTGATGGGGATTAACGTTAATTAGAACTGTATTAAATGTTACAAATCTCACAGCCCATCTGCTGATTCCCATGTACACAAACTGATGACATTTATTGACGTTGCTTAGAGATCACAACATTTAAATTACTTTTTTAATTCTAAGCAGCTGCACAAGACTTTGTCTCTGTCTGCTGAATATTCATCATATATATATATAAATAAATGTATTGAAAGGTCAAAATCTTACATTTAATAAGCATGAGCCTCTGTCCTTATCTTTCATTATTCGGATTGGCTTCTACGTGGTTCTATATTTTATGCCGTTTATGGGAATCCGACAAAACAGAATCAATCAGTTGAAGCAATTCAATCCATCAGGAGAAGAAAAAAAATATATTATTTTCAGGTCAGTTTAATTTTTTTTTTTTAAAAAAAAAGGACATGAATAATTTTTACTGCGCTCGTCAAACATTGCTTCTTGTCCCCCCCCACCGTTTTCCGAGGGTTTGTTTGTTTGTGAGAATGCAAATACCGAGGACAGAATCTTCCAAGTCACCACACCACTCGTGCATTTAATGCATTGCATCGAGTCTCACGTGCTTATTTTTCTCCGAGGTGGCGAAAGATGTCTGTTCCTCCTTTCTTCTTTAACTAAAGAGCTCTTGCTTATGGATTATTAGCACTTGCACTTACATTAAAATTATCTTCCCTATCTGTGACATTTCAATTCCATATACGGTTTGTGGCTCCCGCGGTTTT